CTGGCCATATTCAACCAAACCTCAGATTTTAAGGCTGATGCCACAGTTCAGACTTGAATTCATTTCATTTATATTTTTGTAACATAAACCCTGTATAGATTTTTTCCCTCTGCCCCATCCCTCTCCCCTCTCCAGGCTCTGCCTTTGTGGTCTTAGTAAGCCAAAACCTATGAAGCTGGTTAGACTAATGTTGATTTTGTGAATCACAGACTGAGCAGATTGAAATCAAAACAAGGCCACTAACTGTCCCATGAAAGTATTTCAAAATGTAGGTCTTTTCTCTTTTGAATATGTGTAAGCAATTTCAAGTGAAAATAGTTAAGTGACCAGGAATTTAAATATAATACGCAGGTGATAAGATTGATTTTTGATCTATTTCTTTTGATTGCTAGTTTTTAGAGCTGCATAAGGCAAGTTTAGTACTGTAAGTCTTTCTATTTAGCAATTTATTTACCATTAGAAATGCTTTTCCTGGAGAATCCCTATTGCAACACAACAACATATGTTTCCTGGACATCATGTGTTTTAGTTTTTGCCTCTTTTCCCAATAAACATGAATGTTCTGAAGTGCAAAATCAACAGAGTTGGCTATTTTCTCAAAAATTCTAGGGATCTCAAGTTCATATTTTTTTTAAGAACAGGGAATACAAGTTTACAAAAAGTGATATCATGCAAGTTATTCCACAAAGATTAGAGTAGAAACTGCTCAACGAAGTTTGTTAACTACATAACTGATAAATCCACAATTGTATCATGTAACCTGTAGCGAATGAAGTGGTCCTTTGGGAACAGGTACCCTATGGTCAGAGTTGGCATTTATTTATTCAGTATATTTTTATCTTATCTTTTCATTATTTTTAGCATTTTGCAATTTCTGAGTAATGTAAAAATGTCCTGCAAAATTTAATCAGGAACTTGTTAACCATTTCTGAACAATAAAAGCTGGGTTAGAAATGAGATGTGGTTCCTATAGGAGCTACCTCTGTAAATTTTCCAAATCTGGCTTTCCAATTGGACTTTTTTTTATCATGTCAGCTTGCCTTAAGGAACTTCCTCTTCCTCTTAAGCATTCTGTGCCATGGCTGGTTCTGTATAGCTGAAAGGATCTAAGAGGAGAAATCTGGGCTCGTGATCCTCTGGGAGATCAATGCTCCACCTGACGCTCTTGTACAGGAGCCAGAGGCCCTCATAGCTATTGGCAGGGGATCTTTTGTTGTAGGTACCCTCGTTCATTGTCCTGCCTTAGATACCAGCTATTAAAATGTGGGCAGTGAGCCTTGGGAACAAAGAATTTGGACAGCTGTTGTGCATTGCTGAAATGCTACCATGGAAGAGAATGGGGAAAACATTTGCATTTCATTCCTAGGGTGTTGAAATCCCCCATCTGTTTATTATTTGGAAAGGATACTATTTATTGTGCTGTCTTGTACCACTTGGGCATCGCTATGTATGGACCAATAAGCACCGTAGCTGCTTTGGTCCATGTACAGTCAAAGTGGAACATTCTTCAGATGGCAGTCTTCTTTTCCCAAGTCTTCCGTTGTTTGGATTTGATGTGTGGGTGTTGGCTCTCTGAAAACCTGAGCCATTTTTAGAGTTGGATGCACAGCTGATTCAGCATAGGGGATTGGGCATTTCTTCCGCTCCTGCTGAAGCAAATGAAATGCAGGTGATTACAGTCCCAGACAGTAGAAGTATGGAGTTAATTAAGTGCAAGAACTTCTAAGTAAACCAAGAGGAAGTGGAGGAAGATCAAAATAACCCTGACTTGATTCTGGTTGGCATAAAAGGAGACAGAGGGATGTCCTGGCAGAGTTTCAAGATTCTGTGATTATATCAGGGGTGAAATCCAGCAGGTTTTGACAGTTCTGGATAACCGGTAGCGGAAATTCTGAGTAGTCCAGAGAACTGACAAATGTCACCTATGGCCAGCTGGCCCAAGAGTGGGGGGGGGGGAATGGGGATTTTGCAGTATCCTTCCCCTGCCATGCCCACCAAGCCACAGCCACAGAACTGGTAGTAAAAAAAGTTGAATTTCACCACTGGATTATATCCTCTAACAATCAAGTAGAATTTCAGTAGCCCTTCTGTTTGCATCCTCTGTGACTTAGTCTGCCTCAGAGACCTGAGTTACAGTAGTTCGGAATTGGACGAAAGAACCTCATAAGCCTTGCCAGAAAGTGGAATTCTTTGGAAAGGGAATTAATGGAAAGGTAGTTTATTAACTCATTGCATTTATTCGGGTTTAGCACAATGACCGACACAAGCTCCGCGAGGCAGACCGTGTGCATAGATTTCTGCTGCTTTTGTTTCTAATGTTTGCACAATCTTCTTGCATCCTTAAAGGCTTTGGCCTGATTTTGCTTTTCTCTAAGGACTAGAGGAGAATTGTTTCAAAGGGCAGCAGTGACCCACTTCTTGTGGTGCCACTGTGGTTTCTTCCAGAGATTGTAAGGAAGGTTGTCCCCGAAGCTTTAGACAAATGACTGAAAATTATTCCTCCTGTGATGGGTGCATGCTTGAAAATTAAGTCATCTGATTGTTTGCTTCCAGCAACTGGACAATGTCTCCCTCCGTCTAACAAATTGGGCCTGATGATGATGATGTGACAGGTCCACAAATCTTCCTGTTCAAATCTTGTGAAAAAGCGTCAGTGAACTGAAAGTCCTGGACTTGACCGGCTGTCAGACAGATGTGAATCTGTTTCCTTGTGATTTCTTGCCATTAGTTCTAGTTCTGCTCTGTAGAACCAAGGATGACTCTCTTCAGTTGAGTCTCACATGGTGCAAGAATAATGCACTGGGAACAGTGTTTATATAGGGCAAACAGCACAGGATTTGTGCAAAAAATGGGGGAGACCATCAATCCCAGCCTCCCCCCAAGGACCCCTTTTCTTTCCTTCTGCTATGCATGATGCTCGCCGTTCCTCCTGGGCCAGAAGATTGCTGGAAGACAACAGGTAGCTTTTGCCACATCCCTGAAATATTGGTTAAAAAATGCTGAGGGATTCATTACATTCGGGCCATAAGATCTCAGCCCCTGCTGTACCAAGACACAAAAATGAATCTGCTCTGTTTTCAGCATCTGGTTCGTCTCTTGAAGTAGCTGATGCCCCCAAGGTGGTGGGATCCATTTCACCAAAGGGAAGAGCCAGGTGAAGGAAGTCCAGGGGCAAGCTCCTCTTGGCCCTTTCCCACCGTGGTCTCTGAAGAGGACATCCATCTGGTCCTCCCTTGCACTTGGTGAGGAAAGGCTGAAGGGGCTCCAAAGCAAAGTGTGTGTGTGTGTGTGTGTGTGTGTGTGTGTGTGTGTGTGTAACTTTCTTTCACTGTTACAAGCCAGGGGACCGAAGCAACATTGAGAGAAAGCTTCTTTTGATTTTCCTTTGCAGTGAAGTACCACTTGGGTATTTGATGTGACCGATAACCGCTCACCTTTGATTAACTTTGTCCTCCCAGAACCTGCCATGTTGTGCCATCCCTTTTCTTGCTCTTTCTCTGGGCTGCAGCCTGCAGGACTATATAACCAAACAGCCCATGGGGGGGGGGTCCTTAATCCTAACCAATTGGGCTCCTCCAATGCATGAAGCACCAATTGCATGAACAGTTTTTGAGATGGTCAAAGGTGTTTTGAGTCTCTGCAGTTGATGACATTATCCTGGCTGTGGGGTTCTTCTGTAAAATGACTTCTGCATGTTTTATTACAATTTTATCATCATCCCTTGCTTAGAGGGTGCTGATGTTAGAAAAGAAACTTAGGACTACTTGGAGTAAATTGTACCTTTTACAAAGAAAGACGAGAAAACTGCAAAAGTACTGTGTGTAATTCTGGGGCTTCCCGAAGGTCATTGGAAAACCTGAATGAAACCCAGGGGCTTCTGCAACCCAAGAGCTGACACACACGCACGCACACTGGTCTTTCACCCACATCTCTCAGCACCCAGGAAAAGGATAGGCAAGTACCTGCATTGCGCTGGGAAGGAGACTAAGAAATGGGTCATATCTCCTTCAGCTGATTGAAACAGAAATCTGGACATTTTATTTGATTGGGGGGGGCAATCTCTCTCTCTCTCTCTCTCTCTCTCTCTCTCTCTCTCACACACACACACACACACACACACACACACACACACACACACACACACACGACAGACACACAGACATGGATGGACCCCCATAGGAAACCACAATGCCTTTTGTCCCAGAGCTGGGATTCCAGCACAGCTACAGGGAGAGGTCCTTCCACTAGATCTGGTGGGAAACCACCTTCTCCATTGGCCAAGGAGAAATGGTCCTGGAATAGTCTGTGCCTGCCCCCTATGCACACAGGGATGGAGCTGGGAGCCTGGGAAGGGATGGGTGCCATTGAAGGGGGAGTCCTTGGGGTGGGAGTGGGGGGGGGGGGTGGGGAAATGCCCCTGCAGCAGGCCTGCCAATCCTGCTTTACCTCCCTTCATGAATATTCAAAAGCTGCAGTTGCCGAGGTCTCAGGGAGCACAAAATAGCAAGGTGACATAAAAACCTCCCTCTGCTCCTGGGATGGGGAGGGGGCTGGTTTCTCTTGCTGGAGAAGTGAAGGACCCCCTCTCTGTTCTCCCCCTCCCTCCCTCCTTTGATCCTGGAGGAGAAAATGGCCAGGACGTTTCCCAGGCATGGGCTGCTGCTTTGATGCCTGCATGATGGCATCTCCAGCCTCCTCCCCAGCTGTGTTGTAATCAGCATGTGCTGGAACAGGGGATGACAACAATGTTGGTCCCTGCAGCAAGACTGAACACTCAGCATAAAGGACGCACTGTTGATCCAGCAATGCAGGCATTGTTTCTTCCACCAGGCAGCAGCAGTTAGGGTCTCCATGGTAAATCTCTCTCAGCCCCCACACCCCCCACACCTCCTCCCTCGTTCCTTTATTTCTTGCCACCGCCAGCAGTGGGTCCAAAGTGGGAGCTGCTCCATTTGCTCAGGAGCTCAGCCCGCAAACCTGGGCGAGGGAGCGTCCAGCTGCAGCGTCAGGATGCTCTGAGGGGCGGATTTCGGAAGCGGACCTGAGGATTAGACGGAGGAGCAACGGGGCGGGAGAGCGGGGGCTGCTCTGCGTCCCTTCGCGGGGGAGAACCATGGGCTGCAGCCTACCCGCTTCCGAGGCGGCACTTCAGCACTTCCAGCCCGTGGCCAGGCACCCAGCCTCCTTAACCCTGCTCTGCCCATCTCCGCCGCCTTCCTCCCGGGGCTCCGCGCGTTAGCATGGCTGCCCTCTTTTCTCCAGGCTCCGGTGCAGGGAGGGCTCCTCTCCGAGGCTGAGCTTGGAAGGGTCCTCCGCCCGCCTCCCTCCCCCCGCACCGCGGGGTCCTGGATGCCTCCCTGCCTCTCCCCTACTCGGCTGAGGGGCCTGAGGATTTGACCCGCTCTACCTTGCGGGGGAGGCTTGTTCTAACGGGGCTCCTCCAGGCATTATGGCTCACGCGGCGTCGCAGCTCAAGAAGAACCGCGACCTAGAACTTAACCCCGAGGAGGAGAATGAGAAGAAGAGGAAGCACAGGAAGAGGTCCAAGGATCGGAAGAAGAAGGTAGCTCTTTGCAAAAGCCTCCCGTGGACGCCTTTTGTTTTACTTTGCTCCCACTGCAGCGCCAAATGTCAGGGAGCTTTGATGCAGGGAACTTGTGAAGGAGGAGGAGGAGGAGGAAGAGGAAGGCTGCGACACGTTCCCCGAGCCCTATCCTGTGGGCCAGAGGGGGGGGGGAAGCTTTGAAAGGCAAATTGGGCTGCTTTGAAGTTAATTGTGCTTGAAGTGCTGTGGCAGATCTGGCTGCCCCCCCTCTCTTTGTGTGTGTGTGTGTGTGTGTTTTGCTCCAGCAGATTGAAAGGTGGACCTGGTTCGAAACCCAGGGCAAAGCAGGGCAGGGATTGGAGTTTTAACAGGTTAGATAAATCTTGTATAAATCTCCGCTAAGAAGTGGAAAGGTGGAGGGGGGTGTTTCATGGCTTGCAGAGGCTTTGTGGATGCTGATATTCGTGAAGAAGGACCACCACCATTGTTATCCAGTTTGCTTCTGACCATGGGGTTCTCCTTTGGGAGGAGGGGCTTTCTAACTCAATTGGGTTGGCCAACTTTCTTTTGTCGGCTTGTCCTCCCGCTTACGATGGCTGAGCCCCATGGGGGAAAGGATGCTGAGTTGCCCCTTCCCTGCCCAGGAAGCTGCTGAACCTGGAAGGCCCTCCCCTCCCCTTCTCCACCAGCCCCTTGGATGCCCCCCTCCTCCACGAAGAGGCTTTGTTTCAGTTTGCCCTTCCAGAGGCTCCTGTGTGCATGAAGAAGGCCCAGGGCTCCATCTTCGAATTCCTGTGAATTGTCTTAAAATGGTTTTTTAAGTAATTGTAGCTGGGAGGCAGGAATGGGGGGTCCTGATTGCCTGTGTGAGTTTCCCCAAGGGGTGCATGAACCCCACCTGGGCTCTGAGCATCAGAGGCTACCTTGCCTTTAAAGGATGTGATGGCTGTCAAATTCTCCTGGGGGAGGGGAGGGAGGGGGCTCGGCTCTGCAAGCAGCTTCTCGTTCCTCGACTGCCTTCCTCCCACCCGTTGCCTCTGCAAAGCTGCAGGGCCAAGCATCGCGTGTGAAAGCACCGTGAAGCTCCTCCGTGCAGGGAGACCAGGAGTGGGACCGAAGGGGTTGCGGGTGGGTGCAGACTGCCGCATGGAAGCCCTGAAGCTCCCATCCTCTTAAAGGGACAGGCGCCTGCCGTCCTTTTTTCAAGGGCTCCTCCTGTACCTTTTGTGCCAGGGTGGAATTGGTGGGAGTCAAATATAGTTCTGAATTGTGGTTTGTTCCCCACAAAGCCCTTTCACTTTGCTCCCCAGCCTCCGCTTTCTGAGAGTGGAGCTGGGGCCTATTTTTTTTGCCAAGCATCCTTCTTCCAAGCAGCCAGAGGACTTCAAAAGATCTGCTGATGTGATGTTCAGTGCTGGTGTGACCTGCATTGTCACATGCATCACAGTGGAACTAGCTACATGCATCCTTCAGTGGTCGAAGGCTGCACCTTACAGCAGGAGCAGGATGACTTGGGGTCTAATCCTGCTGCCTTCTTGGGGCGGGGATAGAGAAGCAGTGGAGAGAGAGACCAGAGAGAACCCAGAGGAGGCCAGGGAGTGTTAGGAGATAAGGTCAACTGCTTTGTTGACAGAAATACTTTACTGTTTAGGGATCCTGATACCTCAGAAGGGAATCACCTAGCAACCACTGGGGACCTGGACAGAAATACCCAGTCATCATAAATGTCACCCATTTCCTTCTTCCAATATTTGTGCTATGGGAGAAAAGCCTCGCGGAGCTTTGATCCCAGCCATCAGGAAATTTTTATTTTCCCCTGCCCTGCTGTGGGGTGACTTCAGCTCAAAATACTCGGGAACCAGTTAAAGAACTTGAGTCTCATGGGGGGGGGGGGGAAGCAGGCATTCACTCTGCTGCATTTGCAGCCTAGGCCAGGCTGCCCATTGCCTGGGCTGGAGAGCTGTGGACATTTCTTAGTGCAGCACAGAAGGCAGGTTTCCCTTTTGTAAATTAGGTAATTTTAAAAAAAGGCTTCCTTTTCATGAGCTTCCTAAGCAAGGAGCCAATTTACCTCCCTTGTTCTGGCTAATGTTGGACAATGTTAGAAATACCCCTTGGAAGTTGCCTTCTCATATTGGCAAGAACTGGGTGTCTGAAACCACCAACATCCGTCTGAGTGGTCCTTTCACTTTACAGACCTGAGGAGCTTCCATCCACGGCCTTTTAAGAGCAGCTCCTGGGTGAAGATAGTCCCATCCTGATGTACAGGAAGCAGTTCTGCACTCCTTACATCTTAGGGTCGGGCCAGGTGGATTGTTTTCGGACGTGACCCGACAAAAGCGCGAACGTCAAAAGCGCACCGACAAAACCGTGGTGCTAAAACCGCGATGTCAAAAGCGCGCTGACAACAGCGTGCCGACAGATGCGCGATTTAAGTTAAGGTAAGGTTTAGGGTTAGGTTTAGGGTTAGGTTTAGGGTTAGGTTTAGGGTTAGGTTTAGGGTTAGGTTTAGGGTTA